AGAAGGTAAATTTTGCAAAACGCGCGCGAGAGCGCCCGCGGTGGTAGATTATCCTAATCTCATTATTTTTCTTGCGATAAATGATGCCATCAACCAAGTAGAATGCCAAGTTGAAGAAGAAGGGGTAGCGCACCTCGCCGCGAGCGATGCAGGCAAAATGTCGGCGGGATGCGATGGCACACGTATCTGCATGCATGCATATACGCTCGTGCACTTACACACACATATGCATATTTATATATATATATATATATATATGTGTGTGTGTGTGTGTGTATACATATCTTTTTTTATAATATATACTATGTAGATCTATAATAATATCTATATATAATGTGAAATGCTTGGCCACTCCAGAGAGTTTGGATATCCTCCTCTTCGTTCCAACTTTTCGATATCAATCTTTTTTTTCACTTTCCATCGATTTTGTCTCAAGTATGTACGAACATGCGACTTTTCCCTAATTCTGTTTTCCGCACGTTGAAGATACCTAATCAATTTGTTTCCTAAATGAGAACTCTTCAATAAAAAATAAACAAAAATAGATGAAACATAGTTATAATTATATGTACGAGCGTGAATATCGACATATAATGCGTTATATCGGCATATTATTTCTAATTTTATTAGATAATCGACAAGCAATGGAGAGTCATCGATGGAACACCTATGTCCGTGATTCTCAACAATTCATATAAAACTAAATCATTGCTCAATCTTTGTTCGATAAATGCAACTTAGACATAACCTATAGTTAATTAACATTCAGACAACATAAACTTTCCCAGATTCACATAATTTCTGAAATTTTTCAGAAACATCTCGTCTATATCTATAGAAATTCTAGCCTAGACAGACATGATACTTATATTGTTTGTTATCATTAATCAATTGTCAATTTAACGGTATATTATATTTCTTATGTAGTGATGTACCTATATAGATTCCTTTTTGTACAATGTAATCTGCCAATGAATACCACTTATACTTCGATAAGTAAAATATGATACATATATATTGTATACACACAGTGTGACACGGACGTCTCGAGATTATCTTTATCTTTTTTTATTATCTTCTGTTCGAACATATATTGGCAGATTGGATTTAGTTTCATGTGAAATATAAATTTACAAGAAGAGATCTAATCTTATGATCCGATACCTGAAGTCGTAGAAATATAGTCCAAGAGTTCTTTCATGTAAATGTAATAGAGAATTCGTGTTGCTTTCGAACAGGATTTTGAAGTTTGTAGAAACAGCAGGAGATGAGATTAGGACGAAGTAGGATAGAGACAGAAAGAAAGAGAGAAAATTTAGCCAACTTTACCTTCGTTTTTCATCCTCTATCAAAGAGAACCTATTTAACATAATTAGGCACAGGTCTGTTCGCAAGTGTGACATCTGTTTCGTGATATCTGCCTTGAGACACTGTCGCATGCCGACGCGGTCGGCGATCGAGTGATGGTTTCTTGTTTACTCGAATATGCGAATTCACTGAGCGCTTCGATTTACCCGTGGTGTAATATAATGTAAAATGCACGCGCACACTCCGTAATTACGGTTACTGATCCTCGTCGCCAAGCTCATGCTTAACCTTGTTGAAGTCAAATTCCTCACCAGTGGCACGCTTGAATATGTCGAGCACATCTAAGCAGGTTGTCTCGAAGTGTGTGGTCGCATCATAACTGGTGGATATAAATATCTGACTGTTGAGACCATCATCCACCGGCACCATATAGTCGGAGATGCTGACAAACTTCTGTTTGATCGGGCCGAGCAAATCCAGACCAGGTTTGATCTCAGCTTCTGGATTTTTTGTTTCCACCGTAGTCGAGACCATAGCGATAAACCAGCCCTTCGCCGCTACTTGATGAGTATGCGACACAAGAGACACGTAGATATCGGAATTGCGACCGACCTGTGGAAAGAATGAAACGCTTGAATATATAAGACAAATAAGAAATCCTTACAAATATTACAATATCAAAATTCATATCTATGCGAATAAATAATTTGTAAAGTATTTTATGTTAAACCTTAAAATTTAAAACGGATTGTTATATTGTAGTTCTTTAAAATAAAAGAAAAGGCTATATCAGAATGCAATTACAATTCCTGGAATCTTAACATACGCTTAAGGGAAGAGATGTATAATGTTCAATTACCTGCTTCTGAGGAATAATGATTTGCGTGGATAGCGCGTCAGCCGTGCTCGGAATCGGATGATCCATAAGGCATATGCATCTTATCACTTGACCGACTTTTTTCACGCAGTCGGGTACGTATGTAGGATCACAAAAAACTTGTTTACATTGAGCTGTCTCATCGCCGGAACGGACGCCGACCACCTAGAAAATAATGATCAACTTCAGTAACTAAGTTTAGTCACGGAGATACGGCAAACATAATAAGACACTCACTTTGCCATCCTTCATGACGATTTCGTCGATCGGCTTGTCCAGCATATACGTGCCGCCGTAAATGGCGCTAAGTCGCGCGAATCCCTGAGGAAGTTCGCCCAGACCGTACATCGGATAGAGATACGGCGACTTTCCGTATCGCGCTAAACTATCGCTGTATAATTTGATCCTCCTGATGGTCATTATCGCGGTTTGACCTATGTAGTCATCATCCCTGATTAAAAAACAAATAAACATACTTTGAAGATGGACATTGATAGATAGATATTTAATAGATTTTGATTTGTGTGTTTTTATAAAAAGCATTCTCACAAAAAACAATGGAAAGAAATGCATTTATTTCATGGATTCTTTTAATCTCACGATAATTTAATCTCTTTGAAATAAATCTTGATCAATTATTACCTGTACAACGCTAATGCGTGCCCAGTAAAGTCCTGCGTGTTTTTGTCGAGGCTGAATTTGTTGTAAAGCGCGCTCATATTGTTGCTGAAGGGATCGAAGCCGTCCCACGTCTTCGGATCGTCCTCCTGCATATTCTGCACCCACATGAGAAAGTTGCGGAACCGCCGCTTCTCGAACAAACCCATCAGATCGCTGGACAGAGCCTCCTGCTGATCAATCGGCACCTTGGAGATTTTGCCCGATTTGTACACGTATGAGCCCTCCACCGACTTGAATTCCAGATAACGCGTCACGCCCGTGTGAATGAGTAGCTTGACAAGAAGACCATTTGCCATCAGAAACTTAGGAATCAGGTCGACATTCCAGTCCCGGCCACGGCCATAACTCTCGTCCGGCGACGGGGCCTTGAATTTTCTAAACAACATAAACATCATTATGAATAAGTAATAATACAACACGTAATCACAAAATAATTAGTTTTTACTTATGTAATAAGTTTATCTATAAGTATATTACGTTTTAAATAACATAATGTACAATAAAGTTTGATAAAATAAAACTAAATTTAATTAAAAATAATTGCTTTTCACGAGATAATTACGCGTTATATAT